TGATATTCAAATTTTATTTAAAAAAATTTTAATTGGGTTTATTAATAAATCACATGGTTTAAGTTATAAAAATTGACTGCCATTACTTTTGGCGGGGACTGTACATAATTAACCTTTTTAGTCTGTTTAACTTCAGAACAATTAATCTTTATATGACCAGCCTTTTTACAGACTAAGCAAAGATGAACAATTCGTTTAACTGGTATTTTTTGTACTACTTTTCTAACTGCTTTCTTTGTAGCATTTGTATTTTTAACTTGAGGCTCTACAAAGGGACTTTTTTTAACATTAGTTACTTTTCGCCCTAATCTTTTACCAAGTTCATCATAGATATGTAGTCTTAAGACTGAGAGATCTGTTATTACACCTAAATAATCCAAATCTTTTGCTAAACGAACTATAAATTCATGTTCATCTTGTGACTATATAGATGAATGTGATAGAGTTTCTTCACTGAAAGAGGAAACGCCTACACGTCTACCAGTTTCTAACCATTTATCATTAAGTTGGGTAAAAAAGGTATTAAGATCTGCTGGATTTCCAATTTTAATCCGTAATTTCAAATTTTCAGATAAATGGCTATAAAGAATAGGTAAAGCATTTGCAAATGGTAAAGCATTTACATATGGTCTAATCCGTTTTTTATATGTTTCTGGAGTATCAATAGAAAGAAATTTATTAGATATAAGCGCTTTCATAGAAGTCTTGCTGAACCTAGTTTTATTGCACAATATGTTTCTCAAAACCATGCTATAAATAATGCTAGAGTATTAACCGCATTTCCTGCATTATTATTAAATGAATTAGGAGAAGCAAACTTTCTTGCTATTTTTCCTGCTAATACATTAGTTTTCACAGCATCATTAAAGGATGCCACTCCTAATGAATTGCCATAATTAATTGCCTGCATAACCTTATTATAATAGTCATCTGGTAGCTCTTGGCCAATATATTGCGGTATTTGAGCTAAAAGTGGAATCATTGCATTTAAAACTTTTGGTAAGGTAGCCATATTTCCAAGTGGATTATTTTGTAAATTCAAAATAATTTGCCGTAAATTTATTTCTTTTTGCTTCTATTTTTCATATCGATCATATACTCAATCCCG